TTTAAAAAAAATAAAAGAAAACTAAAATAATATAATTTTTTACATATAAATATTTATAATTTTGGTTTATATATATATAAAAATAATTTTTTAATTATATTATTAAGCGGGGCGGGGACGGGGGCGGGTGTAGGGCGGGGGCGGGGTGGGTATTAACATCCCCGCCCCCGCCCCTGCCCCGATTTTATCAATCGGGGAAAACCCGAACCCGAACCCGAACCTGATAAACACGGGTTTTCCCCCATCCAAATCGGGGCGGGTACCCACAGGGGCGGGTTAGATTGCCATGCCTACTCCCAAGTCGAGGCTAAGGGCCAAAAATGGGTTGAGTGCTCCTTTTAGCACCAATGTTCTGATTGTAAGTTTTATGACATCATTAGGGTCACCATATCTGAGATATTGTCCACTTTGATACTTGTTGAATCATTACGATTTTGTCCTTAAAAAAGTGTCTTGATGGGTTAAAGGAGGATGGTGTATATAAACTATCCTTTGCTTCGATTCCTAAACAATGTGAGACTTTTAGGCATATAAGAACTCTGACAAACTCTATATATAAGCATCTCCATGTGTCTGTAAGTCACTTTTGAGTTGATGAATAAGAAATTAAGTTTTCTTTTCTCCAAAAGTCTTAGAGTTCTCTCATGAGAGTGTGACTCCTTAAGTTCTTTCATTGATAAAACTCCTCCTTGTGGTAAGAGAACCTCACTTCTTGACTTATCTTTTACTTGAAGGAGATGCCACCTCAACACTTCTTCCTTCTCCATTTGAAATTTGTTTTGATGTTTTTGAAGTCATGAAAGAAGATCAATGGAGAAGAAACACTTAATGTCTAACGGTAAAAGCCCACCTAGAAGATTACTATTGTTATTAATAAATATAATTTATTTTACAAATAAATCATTTAATAAAAAAATTAAATAATGATTATCATAATTTAAATATAGTTTTAACGAGTTGTACTATATAAAAATTAATCTAATTTATATGATAACTATTATTGTATATAAGAAAAATTTAGATATTATATCACACAACTTATCAAAATATACCATGCATTGCATGGGTAACCAAATATAGTTAATATATAGATTAAGTGAGTGTAATTATTTAACACCTCAATGACTACTAAACCAACTTGCTAAATTGTCATATAATTCACTCAAATAATTTATATAATATATTTTTAATTTAAATTATGTATTAATTTATGTGATTAGTCTATAATTTAATTTTTCTATCACTATTGTATTAACTATAATTTTTTAGAGATTTTTTAAAGCATGGTATAAATTTTATTAAAATTTATAGATATAAATATATATGATGTAAGTATTTTTTTTTAAAAAAATTAATATAAATCAAGTGTAATTTAATAAAGGACTCACCATTTTGATCTTTGACTTATTAACATAAAATCTTAACTGATCAGAAGATCGACATGACTTTAAAATCATTTTCAGACTAAATTAAAAATTTAGTCTCCATTGTTTTCTTAATCACACTATTTTTAAATGATTCAATTTAGTATTTCAATTTTTTAAAAATGTTTAATGTTATTCTTTTATCTAAATTGACACTAATGAAATTAATGAAATCAAACCGAAAAAAACATTAAATATCTTTTAAAAATTAAGAGACGAAATTGAATCATTTAGAAATAGTGGGACCAAATTAAAGATTCCATAAATAAAGGAACTAAATTAAACAAAATTATACAACATTTTTGTATTTAGATAAATTTAAATTATTTTTACTTATTTAATAATTTCTTTTATTAGTTAATTCTTCATTTTTTAGTTTCAAATACTTAATTTATTTTTATTCTTAATCTCGTTAAAATAAGTTTATCTAGACAAAAAATATTAGATAAATTTTTATTGAATTTTATAAAATATTTAATTTAATTTTTTAATTTTTAAAAGAGATTTAATATTTCATCTAATTTTATTAATATTATGAGTGTGAATTTAGATCATATAAAAATTTTAAATATTTTTAAAATTAAAAAATCAAATTAAATTTTTTTTAAAAATAATAAAATTAAATTAAATTCTAAAAATAAATAGTTGGGCCAAAATATTTTTACTAACCAATCCCACTCCTTTGTTCCTTCCCAGTCCCACGTTAGTCTCCACATAAACCCTAAAAAACACACACAAACCTCATCCTTACCCTTCAACTCTCGTTTACTCCAAGCGCCGCACTTCATTTCTCTCTCTCTCTCTCTCTCTCTAAACACAAAATGGCAGAGCGCGGAGGCGGTGATCGCGGCGGCTTCGGTCGCGGCTTCGGCGGGCGCGGACGTGGCGGTGACCGCGGGCGCGGGAGGCGGCGCGGGCCGAGGCGCGAGGAGGAGGAGAAGTGGGTCCCAGTGACGAAACTAGGCCGTCTGGTGAAAGAGGGGAAAATCCGAAGCCTTGAACAGATCTACCTCCACTCGCTCCCCATCAAGGAGCACCAGATCATTGACACCCTCGTGGGCCCCACCCTCAAGGACGAGGTCATGAAGATCACGCCCGTCCAGAAGCAGACCCGCGCCGGCCAGCGCACCCGCTTCAAGGCCTTCGTCGTCGTCGGCGACGGTAACGGCCACGTCGGTCTCGGCGTCAAGTGCAGCAAGGAGGTCGCCACCGCCATCCGCGGCGCCATTATTCTGGCCAAGCTTTCCGTTATCCCCGTCAGGAGGGGTTACTGGGGGAACAAGATCGGCAAGCCCCACACCGTTCCCTGCAAGGTTACGGGCAAGTGCGGCTCCGTTACCGTTAGGATGGTTCCCGCTCCTCGGGGTTCGGGAATCGTGGCCGCTAGGGTTCCCAAGAAGGTGCTTCAGTTCGCTGGGATCGAAGATGTCTTTACTTCCTCCAGAGGATCCACCAAGACCCTCGGCAACTTCGTTAAGGTTTCTGCTTTTCATCTCAATTTTGTTTTAAATTTTAATTGTTTGGGTTTTATGAGTTCATGCTATGCAATGTGATTATTGAAATTGTGAAAATAAAAATCATTTTGTCAGAGTTGCAATTGCGGAGTCCAATTTCAAACCCTTATGTGGTTTACAATTTTATTTTTTATGTGACTTGTTATTGTAAAATGTACATTTGTTGTATACTAGTGTGTGTCTGGTGGAAGTGTGTGTGATGGTCTTTTTTTTTGGTTCACAAGTGTGTTTTGGATTAACATGGTTTAATGGAATAATTCGTTTGTTGTTTGAATTTTTTGGATTATCCATTATTGATATTGGTATGAATGTTTTGAAATAAATGCACAATGTTCTTTTGTACTCACTTCAATCTTGAGAGGATGTCTTATTGATATAATTGGGCCACCTGGAAGTATGTATAATTCTACCTTTTGCCTATGTTTGTGACTTTGAAGGCACTATGTAAGGTGGGTAATTTGGAATAAGTATTATTGTTCTCTTACGTTTTAAGTAATAAAATTGTTTGAGTAATCTTTGGAATATTGGATATCGATTACTTATAACTTAATGTATAATAGTGAAGTTTAGTACCAATTCCAATATTTGGAAGATCACTTGGCATAATTTCTAATACCTTTTTGAACAGTCACTCAATGTAAGTGTTAGCCTACGCCTATGTTTTTTTTTTTCTTTTTGCAATTGTAGGCATTCAGAATGCATCATGGTTCACTTGTGTATCTATGTGCAAGAATTGCTTGAATGTTGTTTTAGTATCCAACCATAATGATGCTTTGTATTTTTTGACAGGCTACTTTTGACTGCTTGATGAAAACATACGGTTTCCTGACACCAGAGTTCTGGAAGGAAACTCGCTTTTCCAAATCTCCGTTCCAAGAGTACACTGATCTCTTGGCAAAACCAACAGGAAAGACTCTAATCTTGGAGGAGGAAAGGGTGGATGCTTGATTTGCCAGTTTTGTTTTTATGGATGTTTTAGGAACTGTGACTGTTACTTACATATTTTGTTGCTTCCGTGCTTTACTATTTTTTGTTGAGGAACGGTATATCTGTGTTTGCATTTCGATTGTTTTAAGTTTTAATTGACTCCAGTTTTAAATGTCATAGTTTTCTACCTGTTTTATTTAGTTGCTGTGCTAAAAGATAGAATTCATTCATAGAGGGGCAAGTGTTCTTCTGCTGTGCCCCTTCAAGCTTGTCATAGAAAATATAAGCTAGATACAAATTAAATGATGTTAGATAAAACTGTCTTCTTTCGTTAAATAAAATGAGAAACGCCATTAAAACAATATATGCTTAAGCGAATAGTGACATTCTCGCCTTAATTATCGAAATTAAAACAACTCGTGATTAATTTTTTAGCCAGTGTTTTCTGGCCGATATTGAATGAGTTTTATCATTAAAAGTTTTCTCGTTTAATGATTAGTTGTTGTCTGCCTTGACATAATTTTGTGAGTTTGTGAAGAATATGCTCGTAATAAATTAAAATATGAAGGAATGATTTTTCGATTTGAGAAGCATGCTTAATACCTATTATTGTTTAGTATAAATATGTTTTTAATACTTGAAAGTAAGTTTGATTTTGGTCTCAAAACTAAGTAAGTTTTAGTGTCTTAGATTTAAAAATAAAATATGGTTTTGTCTTTTTATTCAATTATTGTTGTTAGTTTGTCAAGAAATTAGAAAATGCTGTTACTGGTGGCGGGACTAAAGTTTAAAATTGGATTTCTTAAGATATCAAGATTGAAAAGATCAATTAAATGTGAGTGACAAGTTAATTTACCTTAAATTTGAGATTTGAAAGATGAAAAACATATTCAAGTTTTATGAATGTTATTAAGATCTTGTGTCTATACATATCAATATTTTAAAAATTGGTTTAGAAAAGTCAGATTGACTTGATTGAATAGGAACTTAATCGATCTTAGCCTTAAATTTAATTATTTATGTATTTGACTCGTTTTAAATTAACTTATATTATTTTTATAGTATATTATTAATTTTAAATTATATATTTAATAATAAATACATATGCACATATTACATGTATTATTTTGTTATATCAAAATTACAAGTATATTATAAATATGTAAAGCTAATTTTTATTTTTAATTTGTATTAATTTATATGCTTCAACATGTAACCTTTTCATTTTATTTCGCCATACATAATTAAAATGAAGATAATTTTAAATAAGATAAGAATTGAAATTTAAGATACTATATGAATTTATTGATATAAGTATATGTTGGAAAGATAACAAAATAATAACAATTAAGCTGAAGTAAAACTAAATTTCCTTTCTCCATGTATAAATAAAAATAGGCTTTGGAAGTACCAACATAATTTCAACGGATGCACAAAATAAAAAAATAAAAATCAACAGGCACAGGAATAACTCCTCACAAATATAGTGGATAACAATACAATAAAACTCTCAAATGGGTATCTAACCAAACAATAGAGAGAATCAAAATAAATAGAAATTAGTATCAAACACTTCTTCTCCAAAGTTGATTGCTCCACTTTTTCTCACATAATTTTTCTTCTCTCTGTTTTACACAGATGCACAATGTACGCAGACACACAACTCTCTGATGTCAAGAGTCATTACATCTGATACTAATACAATTAGCATATTGAGCTTTTTTATTTATTTTTAAATCAATATGAGCCAAATAAATTGGTGACCCACTTGATAGAATAAAATATATAATATTCAAAACTTGTTATACTTAATTTTCAAATAAATATGTAATGTAGTAAACACACAAAAAGTATAGAGCGCTAATTCAAAATAAATGAGAAAGGCATAAAGAAACTTTCTACTTAATAACATGCATTAGAACTCAAAAAATTCCTTTAATAATATGCACATACACATAAGTCCACAAAGAAACATAATCCTTTTACAATCATTTAATAATATGCACAGTACACAACAATTATATCTCAAATGAGGTAACCACTACACCAAGTGCTTTATCTGGGATGTGAGATACAATTAAAATATAAAATATTATGCGTGTCAATAGCAAACAAAAATAAAATGCGAAAACACAATGTGTTTCACTCGTCTTCCACCTTGAGACGAGTCTGTTGGACATGTTTATGACTTGCGGACCTAGAATGAAAACTCGACTATTTTGGCATGTTTTGAACATCGAAAAATACCATTTTAATTATAGAAACCTTAGAAAAACCATCCTCTTCTTCCTCTCCAATTTTAAAACAATTATGGGGTTAAAGCGAGGTATCAAAAATACCCAGAACAAACACAAGGCAGAGGATTATTTCTCTAATACCAAATGAAAAATAAGGTTCTAATGATCTAAACATGGTAAACAATTGAAACAAACACGTTCATATCATTTTAAAAATTGCGGAAGCTAAAGAACCAACCTCCAGCCATTGTTGTTGTTTGCTTGTTTGCTTCTGGTTTTCGAACCCTTGCTCTTAACACACGATGCTATTGTATGCTGAAAATAAGAGTAGGCTAAGTGACCCAAAACAAAGATATACGTCCAATTTATAGAACTCTAATCCATCATAGAGTCTGTTTCGAACGTTGGAGAAATATATGGGAATCATGATAACATATCTGCAAGTTATTTGATAATGGGTTGAATCAACATCAATAATGGACCACCTTCAAAATATGTTAACTACTTAATAGAGGAGAAAAATCAGGAGTGTATACGTGAAAATCAGAGGCACGTTGCTTCCATTTATCCTACTGTTGCAAAAATTGTTTAAAATAACAGAGTGTATATGCCAACACTTTATATTTGAGGACGAGGGTTTACTACCTTTTAACTTGTTGTCATTGTAGAGTTGTGATGGATCCATCTTGGAAGACTCTCCCTTATAGTAGAAAGGACCAACTCAGATCTTACGTTGGCCTGCTTCATGTTTTTTCCATTTGGATAAAAATGGTAGCACAAGTTCTAAGTTTGTCCATTTTGTAGGTTCATCGTTGTAAAGGTCATAAGAGAAAGGCCCAATCTTTATAACAAGCAACATGGAACTGAGTATGACTGTAGGATGGATATTTTGTATCATGCTAGTGGCAGCAGAGAATCTTTCCATGAACGCCCTTAGGGTCTCGTCCTTTCTTTGTTGAAGTCTCAACAGGGCCAAGGTTTATGTCCTATGTTGTCAACTAGTGACCAAACGTGCTTTAAAGAGACATTTTAATGTAGCAAAGTCGTGTATGGTTATAGGGGCAAGATGGGTATACCATATGAGTGTTGGCCCTTCCAAGGAGGTGGGAAAAACTCTACCCATCATACACCTTTTTGGTGATATATATGCTCTTATCCTTGGGGGAAAGGAACTTCCATGACCTCGTTAATGAAAGGATGGTAACGTTCTTCTTTTGGAGGGTGAGTTGGCCCTACGTGGGAGTGAGTTTGGCCTCTTTGACCTAACTAAGGCTCATGGGTGGGTGTGTTCACACAACGAGTGGATTGAGAGTAGGATGGCTAGTACTCTTCTGAGGTGGATAAGTTCATGTCAATTTGAATGTCATTGTTCTCTTTCTTTAATATGAGGAGTTATCATCTGTGTTGAGCTCGGTCAACCTCATGTTGCATTTTCATTGTTTCATTATGTTGGCGTAGGACCACCAAAGCTTTTGCATGACCTCCATGCCTTATAGAAGTTTCACGACGGTTGTCACAACGAGAAGAAGTACAAGCTCTTATATTGCCATGGATGTTGCAACATTAGTGCTGGTGGCTTGGTTTTGTGTAGATACCATGTGTGGTCATAGGATTGTTTCAGTTTGACCCATGGTGGGCACCAAATATTGTTAGCTCAATCTACAAATGCTTTGGTAACTTGAATGAGGGTCTCCGTTCTTCAATATCCATAGTGAGATTACCTGCAAAAAGATAGACTCAAGTTAGATAGGAGCTCGAAAATAAAGTATATTTCATATGAGTTTAGATTGATAGTTGTGCCCTAAGTGAATAAACCCTATCATTAAGCAAAGTATATTCTATTAAAAATTAGACAGTTATTCAATAGGATAAATTGAACCTGTTGTTGTGGATCCAAGATCCTGCGAGGCAATTTTCATTGACCTTGATCTGACCGAGGCTTTTCCAGCCAAAATAAATTAAAAAAATAAAAATACTTAAAATAAATTTTAAAAAAAATTATTTATCGAAATAAATAGTTTCTATCATGTAGGATATTCTGAAGTGAAAACGCACATGAGAGTGTGCATTTTCCATTTTAGACAAATTTGAACTAAAAATGCACACTCCCTATGCGTTTTCTATTCAAAATTTTTGTAAACTGAAAACGCACACGCTCTTGTGTGCTTTCTGTTCTAAGATTTTTTAAAATTGAAAAAAAATTAAATTAAATAATATTTATTTTTACTATGTTATTATATTTTTTTGACAAAATATGTATATTGTAATATTTATTATTTTATGAAATTATATGTGAAAAAAATATAATATCGATTTGATAATATTACACAAACAAAAAATTGATATAAAATTTTAACGATTTACATTTAGTTGTTCAGCTATACGTGGACAATTTGATTTATTGTTGTCTTCAATACAACAATGTCCACATTGTTGTCTATGTTGTGACTCTCTCCAATCCATTTCGTTGCGTATACGAGTTGATTTTGGTCGTCCTTTTGCATGTAACTTGCGATTAGGAACAATTTGAGGGCCTTGTCTTGGTTGTATCTTGGCATCATTACCAATTGAATACCATTATTCTGAATAGGCTTGAGCTATGTATTGGTTTGAATAAATCGGATTAACATTATTGTAGGAATTGACACGTGCATATGCACAAGCAGTGATGGCATGTGAACGAGGATATTTGTATACTTGGAAAACACCACATTCACGAGTTCGATCATTAAGCATTACTATCCAAGTTTGTCCACCTCGTTGAGTTAGTGGATTGAGAGCTTCTTCAATCTTAAATCTTGTGGCTTCGTAATCAAATCTATGGGCAATATGAGAGGTTCCATCTTCTTAATTCTTTTTGCATTTTCTCCATTAACTTATGACCATATTGTTCTCCTCTTTCACACATTGTCATCGCTTCACCACGTCTTTGATAAAAATACTCTACTAGTCTAGAATACGTG